TCTCCCCTCTCGCTTTAAACTCGTTTTTTTTCCTTCTTTCCCAAATCCTTGATCGATATCTGCTACTTTCACCCTCCCATCCCCTTCTATGTTGTTTCTCTGTCTTTCCCTCTCTTGCTCCCTTTCCCCTCACAGAGCACGCGAGCTTCTCCCCTCTCGCTCTGACCACAGACTTTCCCTCTCTCCCAAATTCTGCTCGATTTCTCGTACTTCCCCCCATCTTTCTCTGTCTCTTTCTCTCTTTCTTTCAATGTCTTGCTTCCTTTTCCCCTCTCCCCCTTACAGAGCACGCGAGCTTCTCCCCTTTCGCTTTAAACACGTATTTTTTTTTTCCTTCTTTCCCAAATCCTTGATCGATATCTGCTACTTTTACCCTTCCATCCCCTTCTATGTTGTGTCTCTGTCTCTTTATCTCTGTCTTTCCCTCTCTTGCTCCCTTTCCCCTCACAGAGCACGCCAGCTACTCCCCTCTCCCTTTAAACACATATTTTTGGCCCTCTTTTCCAAATCCTGCTCGATCTCTGCTACTTCCTTCCCCCTTTCTATGATCTCTCCCCCCCCCCCCCTCTCTCTCTCTCTCTCTCTCTCTCTCTCTCTCTCTCTCTCTCTCTCTCTCTCTCTCTCTCTCTCTCTCTCTCTCTCTCTCCCTCTCTCTCTCTCTCTCTCTCTCTCTTTCTCTCTCTTTCTCTCTTTCCTTTTTTTGTCTGTCTTTGTCTTTTCGTTTTGCTATTTCACTTTTTTTTCTTTTTAGGGGGGTTGGATCGTTTGGATTTTTATCTCGGTGTTTAGGACTGTGTTGTTGTTGTTGTTGTTTTCGTCGTGTCTTTTTTTCTCTTGATGTCTGTTATCCTCTCTTTTTTGTTTCTTTCTCTTTCTCACCATTCCTCTCTCTCTCTCTCTCTCTCTCTCTCTCTCTCTCTCTCTCTCTCTCTCTCTCTCTCTCTCTCTCTCTCTCTCTCTCTCTCTCTCTCTCTCTCTCTCTCGCTCACACACACACACAATCTTTTCTTGCCTCCATCCCCGTTTCTCTCTTTCATTCTATCTTTTCCTCTATCTGTTTACTTCTACTCTCTTTCCACTCTCTTTGAACCCTTTTTTCTCCACCCCCCCCCCCCCCAAAAGTACACGTTCACAAGGCACCTCTATTTTTCCACTTCGACGCTAGCAAACCAACTTCTTTACTCCTATTGTACGTGTACGTGTTCTTCCTCGTCCTTCCTCGCTAAGACTAATCTACAGTTGCTAAGACTTGACGAGATCAATTTTCGAAGTCTTGGTTGTAATGGTGATGAGTTATGGGTATCGGGGATTGATCGTTATTACTCTTTTTGTGTTTTTTTTTTCTTTGTATGATATAGCTGAGTCTTTCTTTCTGCCTATTTGTCTGTACGGTTGTCTGTCTCTCCGTCTGTTTGTCTGTCTCTGTCTTACTCTCTCTCTCTCTCTCTCTCTCTCTCTCTCTCTCTCTCTCTCTCTCTCTCTCTCTCTCTCTCTCTCTCTCTCAGAAGCTCAATCTACAAGTCTGTATTTTTTCCCCAGATATAACCATTATAATAACGCATTATAAGTATCAGAGATTTCATTTTCATTTGCATTCTCTCTGTCTCTCTCTCTCTCTCTCTCTCTCTCTCTCTCTCTCTCTCTCTCTCTCTCTCTCTCTCTCTCTCTCTCTCTCTCTCTCTCTTTCTCTCTTTCTCCTCTTTCTCTCTCTCTCTCTCTCTCTCTCTCTCTCTCTCTCTCTTCTCTCTCTCTCTCAGAAGCTCAATCTACAAGTCTGTATTTTTTCCCCAGATATAACCATTATAATAACGCATTATAAGTATCAGAGATTTCATTTTCATTTGCATTCTCTCTGTCTCTCGGCCAGGCCTACTTCGAAAACTATTTTTCTCTCACGTCACACCGCAAACTCAGTCTCCAAGTTTACATTCCTTTTTATCATACAACCATTTTAACAACGCACTCCGAACATCATAAACTATAACTATTACAACCACGCATTGTAGAGACTTATATATACTTACAGTTATAATTAGCATTATACTTCCCAGAGACTTGATTTTTCTTTTTCTTTCTCTGCATCAGGTCTACTTCGAAAACCGGACGCTCTTCGCCAACGTGACGTCCAATCGCCCGAGTTTCAACGTGAGCCGACTGGACGCAGGGACGAGCTACCAGATTAAAGTCTACGTCACTCATGGCCCCGTGACATCCCCGCCTGTGGTAGTGTCTGCCTATACGTCTAGGTCATCGAGGACGCCAGGTAATGTGTTTGTTTGTGTTTGTGTTTGCGTTTGTGTGTGTTTGTATGAGGTGTGATGGGAAGAGAACATTTTTAATTTCGTTTTTTTTTTTGGGGGGGGGGAGGGGGGAAGGACAAAATTGCTGAATGTGGGGGGGAGGATGGGGTTGGTATATTCCCCCGGAGTTCGAAAAATGTAACTCTTTGAGCAAATTTTGGCCCCAATTTCCGTTTTCTGCAGCTAATTCGTCGCCATAA